GCTTGCATTACAGAGTGTCAGGTGGGGCTGGGCACCCCGCACTCACTCATTCTCTGCATTTTGATGTATTGTGGATCTCTGCAATAGCCTCCATAGGTGGATGTGTGCGTGAGAGCTGCACTTTTTTTTATTATTTTTTTTCATTTATTTTGCATCAAGACCACAGTCTCCCCTCCCCCCTCCTCCCACCCCATCCCCCCTCCTCTCCTCCTCTGTCTCCATTCAGAAATGGCCCTTCATTTATCAAACTATTTTCCCAGTCCTGTGTTTCAACCTTTTATTTAAGAATATTTTCCCACCTGAATGTCTAGTCCTCTGTGTTTTTCTGTTCTTTTTTCCTTATTAGATTCTGCACAAACTTGTCTCTTGCTTTTTTAAAAAAAGATTTATTTATTTATTATGCATACAACATTCTACCTCCATGTGTGCCTGCAGGATAGACGAGGGCACCAGATCTCATTATAGTTCGTTGTGAGCCACCATGTGGGTGCTGGGAATTGAACTCAGGACCTCTGGAAGAGCAGCCAGTGCTTTCAAGCTCTGAGCCATCTCCTAGCCCTTGTCTCTTGTTTTTAAGTTATAGTATTTTTTACTTCTTTTTCATTTGAGGGAACAATATTTTAAATAAAAATGAAAGCGATTCCTTAAGACAAGTGTCCCCCCTCACCCCTACCCCCAAGAAAAGTAATTGCTACTGAGAGCTTATCCCTAGGAAGATGAAGCCATTAGAAGGAGAGATGGCTGGTTAGGACTGGAGGGATGGCCAAGATGGCTGGAGTAGAACCTCGGCCACCAGTTTCTGTCCTTGTCACCTTCACACGATGGAGTTCACTTTTGTGAAGCTTCGTAGCGTTTGCTTCTACTCAGCCGTTATATTCTGCCAGTTGTTTAGGTTTTAATATTCCGTTCCTTTCTTTGCCTTACATTCACTGCGCTGACAGGGACTACACAAGATGGGGTTGGGGTGGGGAGGAGAGAGTTATCATTAGTCTTACCCTTGGGAGCTACACCAACTAGCCTTGCAAAATATGCCTATGAATGTAATAGTGGAATGAACCTTGTGGGAGTAGCCAGCAGCTTTCTGATTAAATTAAGGCCCACTCCACAGGCGGGAACTCAGGCTTGGCACTGTAAACCTGACAGAGAAACCTGTGGCTATCGTGGTCACAGGAGGAGACCCTGTTACTGCCATTTTGCTAAGTGGGCATAGCAGCAAAGTGCCTTCTCGGTATCTACCCTTATCCCTATAGATAATTCAGTTCCCACACTTCATCAAAGAAGCTTATTTTATTTTATTTTTTGGTTTTTCGAGACAGGGTTTTTCTGTGTTAACAGTCCTAGCTGTCCTGGAACTAGCTCTTGTAGACCAGGCTGGCCTCGAACTCACTGCCTCTTCCTCCTGAGTGCTGGGATTAACAGCGTGCACCACCACCGCCCAGTCTTTTTTTTTTTTTTTTAATAGCTGAATATAGTTAATATAGAAACTCACCGAGCTGATGTTTTGCTTGTGCATTGGTCAAAGCACAGAAATATAGTAACTGGAATTTTTTGGCCCTCCATGGAGCCACAGTTATCACCCCTGCCTGCTCCACGCCTCCAACTCTAAAGTGGTCGGAGGGGGCTGCTGCACAACAGTGTCTTCTGGACGTGACAGGGCACGGTCATGCTTGATCTCACAGCAGCTGTGAGGGCCTGTCCAAGACCCGCACAAAGCCAAGCCAGTCAGCGTCCCATCACCGATCAGGGAGGAGCGCGTGAGGTTCCACCCATACCCGCGGAACTGCTGGGGGAGAGAGCAGGGAGTTAGTTTTCTGTAGAGTCAGTTTTCTTTGGCTCGTGGTAGGTGGCCAACCCTCTAGTAGATGTCTCTGAACCTGTGGCATATATTAATTGTATTCATTGTAGTCAGGGGATTGTTAAAATACAAAACGGCCAAAGTCGAGGTTGAGGGCGAAATGCGTGTGTGGGAGTCCAGAGGAGGTGGAGGAGGTAGTGGGGAGTGGGTATATTCTAAAAGCATTGTGTACATGCATGAGATTATTAAAAGACATTTGTCGTGTTACTGGTTCTTTCCGGAGGCCGTCTTTGGGGGTTCTCTGCCGCTTTAACCTTTTCAGCTTCCCTGCTTCCTTTCAGTACTTTCTTTCTCGCGTTTCTTTCTCACATTTACCCCTAACTTGCTTCACTGCTTGTTTTCACACATGCTCGGCTAATTAATTTTGCTACATTATTGTTACTATTTAAAGAGTTTATTTATATTTTCCTTTAGTGTCTTTTAGTATTCTTTTCTAAGTCATGTTTTTATTTTTGTTATCTCTAAATAGATTCTAATAATAGTTTTTTTCTAAGACAAAAGGTTAGAAGATTTTGAGAGGCTGGGCGATGGTGGCGCACGCCTTTTATCCCAGCACTCGGGAGGCAGAGGCAGGCGGATCTCTGGGAGTCCAAGGCCAGCCTGGTCTACAAGAGCTAGTTCCAGGACAGGAACCAAAAGCTACGGAGAAACCCTGTCTCTAAAAAATCCAAAAAAAAAAAAAAATCAATCCAATAAAAAATATTTTGAGAGGTAGCCTTTTGATTGTGGGTGCATAATGTGATTTGGGTCAGGTGATTACCATTAATTGGTCGTACGAGGCATTTGTTACAGCATTGGCCTGGCTCACACTTTGCCTGCTTGGTTTGTAAGAATGCAGGGAGGCTCTGCCAGTCTCTTACAACTGCTGACTTACTGAAAATATACCCCGGCATTGAAAATCACTTCTAGCATGTACTTCAGAGGAATTCTGACCAGAATTTACATTTTTGACTATTAATGTGGCCCCAAGGAACGTGTTTATTAATACTGCCTTATACATGTTTATTAATAGTGCCCCTGTTTGCCCTGGCACTAAACGTCTTTCATGTGACGCCTGTAATTCCAGCACAGCGCCTTCCTCCCTCCCCTCCTGTATTTCCTTTTACTTTCCTTTTATCTCATCCATCCATGTCACTTTATATTCTGTGGGTCTCTGTAAAATAGCAGCTCTGCATCCAGCCTGAAGCCCTTTGACTTCTGCACGTTTAGTCTCTTATCTTGTTCCGTGTTCTGTTTTCATATTTCTTTGCACTTCCATTGTTTTGAAATACAGATCTTATTTTCCTTTGCCTTCATCTTTCTTTGATATCTCTCTCTCTCTGTGTCTCTGTCTCTCTCTCTCTGTCTCTCTCTCTCTGTCTCTGTCTCTCTCTCTCTCGTTACAAAGTTTTGTTGCTGGTGTTATCAATTATTTGACCAGACTCATGTCTCTCAACCTGACTCCCAGCTTGCTGTGATCCAGAGAATGACTCTGAATTCCTCATTCTCTTGCTTCAGCCTATAGAGTGCTGGGATAACAGGCGTGTCCCGCCTAGCTAAAAGCTCACGTTTTTAAAATTAAAGCAAGCATGCGAAGCAGTGGGTTTCGTTATTGCAGTCTCTCCCCTCCACCCCACATAGATGTCATTACACTTTGCTCCAATATGTCTCTTTCGCTCTAAGTTTTTGTTTTCCAGAGCGTCTCTTCACTTACATCTCTCTAAGTGTTGAGGAGTACAGCCATGGCTTTGGTTACCTTACTTGAGAGGCCCTGTTTACTTTTCAGTTTTTAAGTTCTGACCAATTTCTAATTTCCATCCAGTTTTTTTGCTAGCATAGTCTGGGTTTTAATATGCAGATCACTGTAAAATATGAAAAAGAATATATCAATAATATTTTGAAATTACTTTGTTAAATTGTTTTCCCAATATTTATGCTTGTCTTTTTCTCATTAGTTTGTGGAGCCCTGGCAGGAAGTTATTCATCACTTAGTTGTGTGTGATCAATTTGGTCACACACACACACACACAAACACACACGCAATTTACATTTATTCATTAACTTATTTGTGTGTGTTCACACATAGGCCACAGTATAAGTGGAGGTCAACTAGCAAGAGTTGATTCTATTCTTTTACCATGTGCGTTTTGGGGATCAAGGTCATCAGGTTTGGTGTCAAGTGCCTTTAATCAACAAGCCATTTCATAGACAATTTTCTTCATATTCTTCATAGACAATTTTGTGCAAATATAGAGGTAGCTCTTTTGGAGGATTTTAACCAGAATAAGTTTAATTTTGATGTTAGCAATATTTAGTTAGTAAAGAGAGAAACATGAAGGCAAGTGTATATTTTCTCTGCAGTTGCAGAAACATCAAAGTGTGATTGCACAAACCTAGATGATATAGCTTGCTATGTATCAAGGCTGAATAGTATATACCACTTTTTATGTGGTATGATATTGATTGAAATATCCTTATTGGTTATATACATGATTTACAATAGCTGGAAACATTACAGTAAAGATACCTTAGCATCTGTTTAAAGAACCGACCCTAAATCTCCTTTGTTAATTTATAGAGTAATGGTTAAAGTTTTAGGATGAGATGATCATTATGATTTTGAAGAACTCGTGCTTTCAGATATTACATTATTAGACAAGTCAGTACTAGAGAATCTGGCTGAAGACATCTAGAGAATTGAAGATGTCAAGACAGACAACCCATATAATTAAAAACCAACATCATGTTCACATGTCATCAGTAGAACAAATTCTCAGAGACGTAAACACTAATAGTTTACTTGAAGTAGATTTATTTATTTATTTATTTATTTTTGGTTTTTCGAACAGGGTTTCTCTGTAGCTTTGGTGCCCGTCCCGGAACTAGCTCTTGTAGACCAGGCTGGCCTTGAATCCCCAGAGATCCGCCTGCCTCCGCTTCCTGAGTGGTGGGATTAAAGGTGTGTGCCACCTCTGCCAGGCTTTAGATGTATTTTTTTTTAAATGGACTAGCATAGTGGCTTTCAAACTTGGCTTGCATTAGAATGAATTGAGGATCTAATTAAAATGCATTCTTATTTGTAGTCACACCCAAAATTATTGATCCGGTTGAGTATGTATGTCAGGAAGTGACTATATATTCAGCTAACAGTCTATCTTTCTTTTAGAAAGACAGGATCTCATGTAGTCAAAGCTGGCATCCACTGGCATCCACTGTGTAGGGGAAGATGCTCTGGCGCTAAATCTCCAATCTTCCTCCACCTTCCAAGTTTGGAATTCGAGGTATGTCTAACCATCGCCTGGCTTGGCTGTACGTGTGAAAGCAATGCCATTGAACTGAGGGTATTGAGTGTGACGCTTGGGCTGGTGGCTACACCCAGTCGTCTATAGGTGTCCATGAAGGCATGGGAATTATCTGCAGAAAGATTTGTTTTGAAGACAAATTTCATACCTTAGCACTTCATTGTTCAATGTACTTGCTGGCATTTGTTTTCTCTTGTACACCAAACCCAAAATTTAGTGGCTTGAAGGAAAAAAAAAACCTTAATTTTCTTAGAGTTTTTCAGTATTTACACAGTTAGTTGTGTAGATTTGCCCGAGGCCACGGCTGTCACTCACTTGACTCTTGGCTCATTAGAGATTAGACAAAATTTGGATACCAGGATAGTAGGGACTCCTCCACAGGATGTCAGAAGCCCCATGGGCTCCAATGTGGAAGTTCCAGATTTTCCCAAGACCTGAAACTGGCCCAATATCATCTCCACTGCACTCTGGGACTGCAGCTGGCCCCAGAGTGAACTGTCAAGCACGGGAGATGAAAGTATAGTGTGCAGATACTTGGAGTTGCAGATCACTGGGGCTACTGAGAGAGTCTCACAGAGATCTCTGTGGGGGCAGACACTGGCAATGGGGAGACAATACAAGGGAGCGAAATCGATGTCCAGTTATTACATCCTAGTTGGAGATACCAAGGATGTACAGGTGCGGTTAAGAAAAAGTTCAGGCTGCGGACTTTATTCAAGTACAAGTTCAGGCTAATTCAAGTACCAAAGTCCAGCTAAGAGACTACTGCTGTAGGTGCTATATTGCTCAAGAAAGGCAGAGATGTGGGTGAAGGTTGTGTGGCATTGTTTCTCAGAAGATGTGAACAAGCATCCACTCACCTTAGATAGGAAACCACTGACAAATCAAAGTCAGGTGTCGCTTACTCCTAAAGTCCATTGTAAGGAACCAATGAGTTCTATTGGGAGTGAAGATGACTCAAGACAACGTTATCACCAAAAGCCCAGAGCAGCATGGACAGCTAGAAAAGCTGGAATCTGGAGTCCATGCCATAACTTGAAGCCAGATGGACAGGTTGGAGGTTTATAAGGTTGTCTTCTTACAGGCAGTTTGACTGGTCTCAGTCTCTTTTAGGCAGTTACCCTGGTCTGAGCTTCTTAGAGGCAGCTCAGCGTGTCTGCGAGTGTCTCTTAGAAGTCCTTAATGCTCATATATGCTTGGGGAGGGAGAGGCCTAACGATTCTGTTCAGTTTCCGGAACTTCCTAAAGCGATTGAGTTGTTTAGCTCCCCAGTTCAGCAAACTTCTCTGCAAGATGGAATTTTGTTGTTGTTGTTGTTGTTGTTGTTGAGAATATCAGGTATCTTAAGGAGCCTCCTTCTAAGATGGAATGTTTTCTCTCAGAGGAAAACTAGCACCCAGCAATGAATGAGCTCAATCCTTGTGAGGCTGATAGATGTTGCCAAGAGCGAGGCAGTTAACTGTGTGCCTCCAAGGTCACCCAGACTGCAATAGCCCCACACCCCTAACGCTTGATATTCTCTCCATAGAGATGTGTTTTAGAGTATTCCTAGGCCACCATCATTCCTCAGATGGCTTCTAATTTATTACGCAGAGGTTAGGGCGGCAGGGAAAGAAATGTACATGGCAAAGGAAAAGAGGAAAAGTATTTGGCAAAGTCGAGACAAGGATGAGACTGTCTGATGTTTCAGGCTTGCCTACTGTATGTGTGTGGGGATGTCTTCACGTTTTCTGTAGGAATGGTGTCTCTTAGGACAGTGTTTTGTTTTATTTATTTAATTATTTTTTTCCCCTGTACTAGGGATTGAACCCAGAAATTCACACATGCTAGGGAAACACTCTTTCATGTTCCCAACCATAGAACAGTATTTGAGAAGATGCAAAAGGATACAAAGGGAAAAGAGACAGCAGTTATTAATTATTCCAAATAGCACTGTGGATGATGACAGAGAGGAAACAACAGCAACAAGACAAGCTTTGCTGCATCTGGCTAGATGGGCGCTTCTGGCTTTAGTCAACTCAGTCATCACAGACAATAAATATCAGATCTGGCCTTTAGCATTTGCAAGGGGAATTTGACCTTTACATTTTAAAGGAAATGAGAAACAAAGAGATTACATAATTAAAAAATCTGTTTCTGTCTCTTAAAAGCAATTCAATTTAGGTCAGGAGCCAAGCATCTCCCTTTCCCTCTAATTGTTTTACCTTGGCTCCTGGTACCCTGCCCTTGCTTCTCCTGTGAATAGCTCATTAGTGTTGGGCCAGTATTCCCATTGGGTGCACCATGCTAATGGTGGAAACAATAGAGGAAGCATTACGATCCAAGACATGTTAATATTGAATCCGAAATAGAATAATGAACAAGACCGTGTGCCTCCTACATGCTTGTTAGCAATAAACTCTCAACTGTGACTCATTTTCTATTTGACCTTCTTGGCTAACCACCATACAGAAGGACGGGATGAAAATGCTCACCACTCATCAACCAAGGCTCTGAACCTGTCCCCTTCTATCTGACCCATGTTACCTTTATCATTTGGGGAAAGCCCAAGTAGAGAGGTTATATAAAAATATGCATGTGGACATTTGAATATTTTCAGTAAAAAAAAATCAAGACAAAATCAAGAAATTAACCATGAGTACAGGGAGATTCTGGGGAAATATGACAAAAAAAATGAGTGAGAACTAAGTACCAAAAGAATAAAATTTTTGTTTTAGGGCAGGGAATACATTTACAAATTTCAATTATGAAAAAATATAGAGAAGTTATTACAATGTATTTTTTTGAGGCTGTTATGGATTCGCTTTTCTGACTTCGGACTGAAAAATGGAATTGTGTCAGATCCAAAGCTTCCATAGAGTAAAATAAATAATTTCCAACATGAAGGGATAGCCTACAGAATGGGCAAATATCCTTGTCAACTATTCATCAGACATGGGATTAATAGGCACATGCGTAAAAAACTAAAAAAATCAAATGCCCCAATGAACGAATAATCCAATTAACAAATGGGCAATTGAACTTTTCAAATGTCTCTGAAATATATGAAAAATAAAGGTCAACATCCTTAGCACTTCTGAATGACTTAGAGATTGCATCACACTTTGGGTAGAATGACTGTCACGAGAAAACAAAGCCCAACGAGTGTTGGCAAGAGTGCGGAAGAAAAATCCTTCGCACTATTGGTGGAACTCTGAGCTGGTGAAGCCATGTGAAAATCAGCTTGGGGGTACCTCAGACTAAAGATAGACCTAATGATCCAGCTTTACCAGATCTGAGTATTTGCCAGAAGGAATCTTGCACAGCGTATTGGAGAGGCAGCTGCATGTCCTGTTGACTGCAGAGGCAGCTGCGTGTCGATGCTGAGTGCATGTCGGTGTTGACCGTAGCACTTACTCCTGACAGCCAGTTATGGAATGACCTTGGATGTCTATCAGTAGATGAGTGATTAAAGAAAATGTGTATGCACAATAGATACCCTGTATCAAAAAAAAAAAAAAAAAAAAAAAAAAAAACAGAGAGAGAGAGAGAGAGAGAGAGAGGGGGAGAGAGAGAAAGAGAGAGAGAGACCAGATCCAGAAAGACAGACATCTCATGTTTTCTTTCATATGTAGAATCTAGATTAAAAGAAAAATGTAAGAGGCTGGAGAGATGGCTTAGCAGCTGGCAGATCTTGTTGCTCTTGGAGAGGCCCCAGTTCAGTTCTCAGCACCCACATGGTGGCTCACAACCATCTGAAACTGCTCTCCAGAATATCAGATGCCCTCTTCTGATCTCCATCCCTAGGCAGGTACATGGTGTACATACAAACATACAGGCAAAACACTCACACAATAAATAGATAAATCTAAGAAAACTCAAAAAAACATGAAGGCAGAAGGGGGTTACTGAGGGTATAGAAAAAGATAAGGAGGTACAGAATGATTTCATACTTTATATATTTTCACATTTCCCCGGGTTAATAATACATGTTCTGTGCTTTGCATTCCATTCTTGTTATTGGGTATGTATGAGGCATATGTGTGTGGCATGTGAGTATGCATGTATGCAGGTGTGTACACCCATGCATGCACACAGGGAACAAAGAAGGACATCAAGGGTCTTATTCTCTCACTCTCCACCTTATTCCCTTAAGACAAGGACAGTCATTGAACCTGGAGCTTGGCCGGCCACTAGTAAACTCCAGCCATCAATCCTCCTGTCTTTGGTCCCACAACTCTGGGTTAACAGGCATGGATTTTCATGAGTGCTCCAGAGGATTTGAACTCAGGTCCTCATGTACCAAATTTTCATTATCCATTCACCTCTTGATGGTTATATTATTGTATTCTATTTCCTTGCTCTAGTAAAGAGAGCAGCAGTCAACATGCACCTGCAAACGTCTCTATGCAAATGATGAGGCGTGGAGCTCTCTGGGTGTGTGGCCAGGAGTAGAATTGCTGGGTCTTAGGTAGTTATATTTTTAAATCACTAAACTGATTTTCATAATGGCTGTATTGATTAATTTGCACCCCCACCAGTGCTGAACAATGTTTCTGCTTTTCCCATACCCTTCCCAACATGTGTTGTCGGATTTCTTTTTTTTAATCACTTCTTTCTTTCTTTCTTTCTTTCTTTCTTTCTTTCTTTCCTTCCTTCCTTCCTTCCTTCCTTCCTTCCTTCCTTCCTTCCTTCCTTCCTTCCTTCCTTCTTTCTTTCTTTCTTTCTTTCTTTCTTTCTTTCTTTCTTTCTCATGTATACAATATTCTGTCTGTGTGTATACCTGCAGGCCAGAAGAGGGCACCAGACCTCATTACAGATGGTTGTGAGCCACCATGTGGTTGCTGGGAATTGAACTCAGAACCTTTGGAAGAGCAGGCAATGCTCTCAATCACTGAGCCATCTCCCCAGCCCCTCGGATTTCTTTATGACTGGAGTGGTGTGCGTCTCAACACAGTTTTAATTTGAGGTTACCTGAGAAATAGGAATTGGAGCACATTTAAAAAGTAGTTATTGGCCATTTGTGTTTCTTCTTTATAAAACTATCTGTTCAATTAATTAGCCAACTTGTTGATTGGCAGTTTTACTCCCTTTGCATTGAATTTCCAAAGTTCTTTTTTATTAACAAATTCTGAATTGTCTGAAGTGTAGTTGGCAAGGATTTTCTTCCATTCTGTGGGCTGTCTGTGTGCTCCCCTGATATTTCCCTCTGCTGTGCAGCAACTTTAATTTCATGTTCCCCCATCTGTTGATCCTGTGCTATTGAAGTTCTTTCTATTCAGAAAGCTTTTGCTGACCTCGACGTCTTGAAGTCTCTTTCATATGCTTTTGTCTAAGAGTTTCAGCATTTCATGTTTTAAATTAAGGGCTTTGATGTCTTTTGAATTTATTTTTTTCCACAAAGTGAAAGATATGAATCTAATTTTATTCTTCTGTTGGTGAATGAATATCCAGTTTTATCAGTACTGTTTGTTGAATTGGCTATCTTTCCCCTCCCTGTACTTTTATCAAAAATTAGATGGGTGCCTTAGTTAGGTTTCTCTTGTTGTGCTAAAACACCATGACCATAAGCACCTTGGCTAGGAGAGGGTCTATTTCCGCTTATAGTTTCTCATTGAGTCCATTACTGCGGGAAGTCAGGGCAGAAACTCACACATGGCAGGAACTTGGAGGCAGGAGCTGATGCAGAGGCCATGGAGGGATGCTGCTTACTGGCTTGCTACCCATTTCTTGCTCAGTCTGGATTATGATAGCTCCAAGGTGTACTAGCCCATGGGTGATACCACCCACAGTGAACTGGCCCTACCACCTTAACCACCAATCAAGATCAACTATCAATCAAGAAAATGTACCACAGGCTTGCTCAGAGGCCAGTCTGGTGTGGGAGCTTTCTCAACTGAAGTCCCTCTTCCTAAATGACTCTAATTTCTGTCAGGTTGACATAAAAGTACCCAGCACAATGACCATAGTTTTGCCAGTTTATTTCCGGGTCCACTGTTCTGCTCCATCTGGCTAGTTGTCTGTTTTTCTGGCAGCACCGGGTTTTTTTTTTTTCCCCTCAAATCATTATATCTCCAAAATTAGCTTGAATTTGGATGTTGTGATACCTCCAGCTACGTCCTTACTTCCTAGAATTGCTTTGGCTATTCATTTTCTTTCCTGGTTCCAGGACTAGAATAGGATGTTGTAAATTAAACAAAATAAGGGTCACTTACCTGAGTCTGTTGGAAAAGAAAAATACTTCTGAATAGGGTGGGAGCAGCTATAATTATGTTATGTGTTAATTTGCATCTCATCTTCCAGGCAGTTCGTGCAGGATAGGAAAAAACAATGAGAATTTCATAATGTTCATAATATTTCAGGAGAATAATTCACATGTGGCAGTCAGATAGAATTCACAGGGTGACGGTGTTAACACACAGGAACCATCTTTGTTGTTGGCTGTGTTATTCTTTACTCTTTTGGCTTTTGGGGGGGTGTCCAGCTCCCAAATAAACCTCTCACAGAGTCTTATTCTTACTTATGAATATCCAGTCTGAGTTTGGCTTGTTTCTAGCCTCTGAGCTTTTATCTTTCGCTATTCCTGGACACCTTTCTTTTCCTTTTACTCCATGGTTTATTGTTTTGCTGGGTAGCTGGCCCTTTAACTCCTCCTCCTTTTCTCACTCCCAGATCTCCCCTTCTATTTACTCTCTCTGCCGGCCAGCCCTTCCTATCCTTTCTCCAGCCTCACTTTTGGCTGTTCAGCTCTTTATTAGACCATCAGGTGTTTTAGACAGGCAAAGTAACACAGAGTTAAACAAATGCAATATAAAAGAATGCATCACACCATTGCATCATTAATCAAATATTCCACAGTATAAACAAATGTAACACATCTTAAAAGAGTATTCCACAACAGTGTCTGCTTCGGTTTGTGTGCATTCTGCATGCTCTTATGCAAAGCAGACAGAGGTTTTAGAGATAGGGTCCTCCTTGAATGAAGTGCTAACCCAGGTTCTTTTTTAAAAATCATATTGTTGGCCTGAATGCGCTGTCCTGAGTGGAACTTGATTTTCCTTTATGAGAGACTGATTCTGATATTTTGGGGTAAGGCAGTGATCTATATGCTAGCAAGCACCTCGGGACTCTCTTAAGACCAAAGGGTTTGGGAGGGGGTACTCTGCCACCGGAGAGGAAGGTTTGAATCAAACTGATCTGAATGCAGGGAATGATTTGCGGTTCTCAGCTAGGTAAGCTTGGCTTCCTTCTTCCATCCCTCCCTCCCTCCCTCCCTCCCTCCCTCCCTCCCTCCCTCCCTCCCTCCCTTTTTCTCCACATTCCACCAAACACAGCGCTAGGAAAGAACTCAGGTTCTCCCTCTTCCTAGACAAGCACTGCACCTCTGAGCTACATCCATGAATATACATATTAACCCCACTCCGCATTTCAGTTTCCTCATTTGGAAGATGCCTAACACTAAGTTTATACCCTGCGCCCTTGGCTTGTTCTGAACAGGCTACGCTTGTAGCTGATGTTCAGGAATTCCAGTGAAGTGGCAGGAACTAAGGGGGGTGACCTCAGCTCTCTTTCCTCCCTATATTGCTTCTGGCCATTAGTTCTGATTGTGCTGCCATTGTACCTTTCTACTCTCGCTTGGTCACTTCCTGATAGTTTTGCACAGCTCCCAGTCTCTGCCTTCTGAGCCAAGAGAGAGAAGTTCCTGCAGAAATCCCTGCAATGACTTCATTTTATACATCTCACACACCCACACTTGGATTTCCAGTACTTTCTCAAATTAGTCCCCACCCGTAGTTTCTGTCCTCTGTGCCACTCACTCGGGCCGTTCCCTCTGATCATCTCTATTCACTGTTTCCGGTTTGCTGTGTGACTAACTCCCGGGCTCCTTTAATGCCCCTCTTCCCTCAAGGGTCCCTGGAAAGACTCCGTTTGAGCACGGCTCTGCTGCTTAATGGAGATTTCCAGAACAAAGCTGACCTTGAGCAGCCACTGGGAGAATGAGAAGAGGTGGCCAGAGCCGACCCCTCTGCTTCAGCTGTCTTTATGAGCGATTCAGCCCCTGCTGAGTGGGCTTCACGGAGCTGAGACTGATGGTTAAAAGCCCAGATCGAGCACTGTGACGACACCGCTGATGGCCCTTTCCATTTTCCACGCTGGCTGAACAGAGGCTCGCTTCCCACCACGCCGAAGACACTCCTGGAATGGATTTATTATTCTTCCTAATTTGTGTCTTCAATTAGACGCAAACAGTGACTTCATTATGAGTCGAGGTAGGGAAAAAGGCCAAGAGCTGCACACCTGGCCAGTGTTTTTAAGACGTAGGTAATGTTTCTTAATCTTTTAAAGTGTCGCTAAGTTTTGGTCACCGTCTATAGTAATCAACAATAAAAACATTAAGATAAAGGTTTTATGAAAAATCTGCATACAAGATGCGGGGATCGGGGGGAGGTCCTAACCAGACATGGAGGCCCCTAGTGTCCTTTTTGTGCGCTCATTGCTTCATTGCAGCTTATGATACGGAAGTTTCTGAAGTCTCTCCACACATAGACTCTAGGAGAGAAGAAAGAAACACGGGTTGTTCTTTGTGGGATTCCCAGAGCCCAGGGCCCAGTTTGTGCATATCCCTGGGAATACACCTTCCTTCCTTTCTTCTTTAATTTTTTAAAAATACAGCAGGAACAGCTAACCTCAGCACATCTCCCCCCCCCCCCCCCCCGCATTGGGAATGACGTAGAGTTCTTCATTTAGTCTACAACAATTTTACTTAATATCTCCTCGGTTGACCTATCCTCCCCTTCTTCCTGTCCTTTCTCCTCGAGTCAGGCTCCCATGTCGCCAGGTTGGCTATGAACTTTCGATGTGGGAAGGACAATTTTAACTTCTTGTCCTCCTGCCATCGTCTCCTTAGTGTTGGGGCTATGGGCGTGCATCACTAGTGGAAACCACGCCCCGGGGAGTGTGTGTGTGCTTGTGTGCAGGCTCTCACATAGCTCACGCAGGCAATCTTCATACTTACTGTGCCCTTGCACTTCTGATCTCCCCATCTTTACCTTGAAGGTGCTAGGATCACAGTGTGCACCATCATGGCTAGCTTTATCTGCTGTCAGGGGCCCAAAGCAGGGTCCTGTGTGCGCTAGGCAGACGCTCCACCAATGAAGCTGCGTCCCACACACCCCAGCTCCCAGCACTGAAATCTTACTATGTTCACCTGGGAAATCCCGTCCCCCGCCCATCTCCCTCCCCCACCTCCCCCCCCACCTCCCCGCTGCTGAGGATTGAACCCAGCGCCTTGTACATGCTAGTAAACTCCTTCACGAATCTACATGATCACTCCTTCGCCTTTTAATTTTACCTTAAGGGGATGATTCTGAGGTAGTTTCTGCTTTCAGCTTTAATGCTAGATATTGCACCTAAATTTTTACGAACTAATACAAGACTCATTTTTAAATGGGGGTGGCGGTGGTGATGAAATCAATCTGTTTAAAGTCTAGACATTATGTTTATCTAATTGTAATATATCAATGCCAAATAAATATATTTATATGTATTAATAATATCATGAGGTAGGTTCACCTTATTTCTAAAGTAAGACCCTCAGGGCTATACTACCTTTTTTGTTTTGTTTTTCTTTTTTTGAAATAAGGTTTCTCTGGATAACAGCTCTGCTGTCCTGGAACTTGCTCTGTAGACCAGGCTGGTCTTGAACTCACAGAGATCAGCCTGTCTCTGCCTCCTGAGTGCTGGGATCAAAGGCGTGCGCGGCCACCGATGGGCTGGTCAAACCTCGTTTTTAAAAACTCTAATTTCAGACTTTTTCTGCTTTCTGATGATGTGATGGGAACACAATAAGCTTCTTTCAAGTTCCTGCTGCCACGACTTCCCCAACACAAAGAACTGTGCCTTGGAACTCTTTTGTTTCTTCTCCCCAGGCATGGTTTGCAACCGGAGCCCGACCCAGATCTGGACGCAACCTGTAGTCATGTTTATTTACCTATAGTCTCCCTGCAAGGAGACTGCACAGTTCCAGAAACCCCAGCTGCTATTTCACCAACCGCCACTGGAGGGCCTCAGACACCATTTTGAATCTCTCCTGCCTCTTATGAACCACACTCTACAGGCACCCTGCAAGTTGGGGCAGGATCCCTTCCCGGTTATCACCTCGGTTTGATGCAGCCTCACAAAACTGGTTTCCAGCACTCCGGAAACATCGTCACCCAGACCAGGCAAGACCCTTACCTAGAAAATCTTCCTGCAAGTTTCCACGGCTAACCCGTGAGAGTCCAGTCCTTCTATAGAGTCAGACACTGGCTGTAGCCTCAAACAGAGGGGCAGTGCAAGTCACTCAGAAAAAGACCTTCCCGGGAAGGCTTTGGTTACTGCTCAGTCCCCAGAGCTGCGGGGAACTGTCAGTAGAAGCACTTAACGTTCACCTCATGTGTTCACGGTCCCTGATATCTGGACCCCAGGGTCATCTGTGAGAGAAGATGGCATGTTAATCCCACCGACTGCGAATAAGACCACTCCCACAGTTTATAGCCAAAGTTGAAACAAGCTTTAATTAAATACTGGTCAGGTGGATGGGTTCTGGCCAGGTTCACCTCTGGTTTCCCTGAAAATAATGGCCCTGAATCGTTTTGCCACAGTTTACAAGTATTTTCCATCAGATCCTATCAGGTACAAGCATACAGACTGACGTATTTCCTACCCGTGAACCTCCCACCCACGTGTGATCAAGCACATCCTGCGCAGATGGGTCAAACAAACTTGTTTAGGGGAGTGAAAACACGTGGCTTGTGATCTCCCATAAACAACAGCCTCCAGCATTTCAGGAACTAGAGGCTTGTGGAGCAGAGGCATTTTTGTTTCAGGGATCTCTTAGGCATGGTCATTAAAACTTAAAATGTAACTTTGGCTCTCACATCACGTCTCTTGATTAGAGGGAAAACAGTCTTCTAGGCTGAATCTAGGCCCTGGAACTCCCAGCAGCCCAGAGCCTGGGCCTGTTCTGGCTAAGGGCACCCCTGAGAAACATGGGATGAAGGTCAAATGGAGACGGAAGAAGGCAGCTGTTCACTCTCCTTAAGGAGAGAGAGAGAGAGAGAGAGAGAGAGAGAGAGACAGAGAGAGAGAGACAGAGAGAGACAGAGACAGACAGAGAGAGACAGAGAGAGACAGAGAGAGAACTGGCAGGAGCCAGTCCCTTGTGAAGATCTGACTGGATTTCACAGACATCAGCTTCCTCTTAACAACTGCGGACTGCCATCGAGTTTTTAAAGTCCCTTTTCTGGCTCAGATGCGTATATGGAAAGAATAAATTAGAACTAGCACAAATAGGAAATACCTAGACGCCAGACGTTGTAAGGGAATTCACTCTAGATTTGCTTTGTAAGACACCTAGTATCACGGTTGAATTTAGTGTTATGAACTGTCAGTGTTTTTCTTGTGTTTTCTTACATTTATAATGTTTGTAAATAAATGGCTGCCTTCCCCAATATATAATTTCAGTAATCACATATTGTAATTACTGTAAATGTAATTGTTCCAGTCAAGCCCAATCTAGTGCTTATTTATGTTTTCATTTTGTCTCAAGATGGATTAGTTTTTAAACACTCCAAAGAATTACAATATATAAAAAAAACCCATATTTTTTTTTGTTGCAAAAGCATCAAAAGGACAGAACATATATCTTAGTGAAGAGAATGGATTAACTCAGGCACCTTTGTCAGAGGATATTAGAGACTTTAAAGAGAGCTTTCAAAATGGAATAAAGTCTAATTTATTTTAAAGGTCATAGCAATACTGCTGTTCTTCAAAGAAATTTAGATTTATTTTTGTGTGTGTGTGGTGTGTATGTGTGCGCGCGCATGTGTATGTATGTGTGTGTGCATGTGTGTATATATGTGTGTGTGCATGTGTATATATATATATATATGTGTATGTGTGTTTGTATGTGTGTGCATGTGTGTGTATGTGTGTGTTTTACCTAGGGCATCAGATCTCCTGGAGTTACAAACAGTTGGAAACCACCATGTGGGGGCTGGGAACTAAACCCAAGTCCTCTGCAAGAAGAACAATTGCTCTCAACCATGAAGCCCACTGTCCAGTTCACTATGACTTGTCTTAACTGCCATCTACACTCTGAAGTTTATACTGTCGGCCCCCCTGAAACATGCCTGTGAGCTGTATTTGCCCCTGGAAATCTGGGTCTCTTATGCTGACAATCACCTACATAGTTGCCGCATAATAGGCAGTTGTCGCCGTTTCCCTTGGAAGTAAACAAGGGTTCATTTTCTCAATCAGAAGCAGGCTTTATTCCAAGATACAATGACATCAGGTAAAAATGCAAAGAACTGTGCAGTTGTGGGGGATAATTTTTAAAGATTAGTAGTTTGGGCTGAATTACAAATAAATTAAACACCAAAATACTGAGTCCTTACGCGATGGAATGGATTCAGATGGACAGAGGCTCAGGTGGCTGCACACTGCTGGGAGGCAGGAGGCAAAGATGCTCGTGACTGGCATACGCCTGGGTCACTCACTTACCCCCTCCTTTTAAAAAATCTTTTTTTTTTACTATTAATTATTTTTTTCATTTATTTTACATCCCGGCTACAGTTTTCCCTCCCTCCTCTCCTCCTGCCCCCCCCTCCTCTTTATCTCGTGCTTCCTTGATTTTCTGTGTTGTCTGACATCTAATAGAACTCTTCACTGAGCTCATTAAATAGGAAGCTTCCAAATTAGCCCCAGGACACTCATGACAACAAAAAATGTTGCTGTGTGTCCCATTAGTATCTATACCGACTTTATCCACACAGGATGAGGCTGCCCGGAGGCTAGAGGAAACTGGCATCGAGTCTGAGGGCGATGCTAGCGATGTTCAAGACTGAGGGCGGTGGTGTCCAGTGACGTTCAGGGGCGTGACAGGAAAACAGTCAAGGGGAGTGAGGGAGATGTTGGGACCCTGTCAGGAGAGCCTCTGTCCCCTCCTCCTTCCTCCTTAGTGCACTGGACCTATATGGTGGTGCCTGGGTAGCATCTTATCACCTGGTGGGGTACTCTTAACGGTTTTCTAAATTTTTCCTTCCTTCCTTCTTTCTTTCTTTCTTTCTTTCTTTCTTTCTTTCTTTCTTTCTTTCCTTCTTTTCTGCCCTTGGATCAATCAAATCAAGCATTACGGAGTACCCGTTATTAACTAAATATTGTTCTATGCAATTGGGACACGTCAGAGAATAATAAGGAGCCCTGCCCTCAGCGACCGTACGTACTGTCTCTTGTTTATTACTACCTCGCGTATGTACTACTCGTGACCTTTGGAAAGTCGCTGAACCCCTGTGCACCTACCATCAGCTGCCCGCTGGGGTTGAGGTCAAGA